CACGAGGCAGATATTGAAATCAATATCCTATAATGCTGTATCCTGGCAAACAAAGTAATACATCAAATTGCATTATGAAAATGATGCAAAATTGTGCTTTAAACTGACATAAGGATTGCCTTTTCATATGACTAAATGTGAAGGGCACAAGTTTAACACAGTTCTGAAAGATTTTTGGATCACTTGACTATCTGCGCTCAAGATACTACTCTAACAACAAAGTCACCATTTAAAAATATTAAATAAAGTGAAAAAAAAGATTGTTAAATTAATGACATAGTTGGTAAACACAACACAAGCTTAATACAATCTCTGGTGGATCTCTACCCCTCCCTCTAAATCAACATCACCCCAGTGGCCATTGGTACTAACAAGAAATTCAGCATCCAGAAAGAATACAGATCATGCAGTAGAGATGTGCACTCTAAGTAAAAATTCTGAAGTGTAAATGAAAAGGAAAGTTCTATTCACAGCACTTTCTAGCCCAAAGTATATTCATCTAACTATTCAAGAAGTGTAAAGACCAAGGTGACTACTCTGATACGACTGACAAATAGGCAATGAGTGCAACAGCATCTTACTCAAACATGCATGTTGCAATAGATAATTAATGCCAAAAGAAGTTTAAATGTTTCATTCAAGGTATAAGAGAATTAAATGGATTAAAATACGAAAATTTCCACAGCGATATAAATTTTGGATGACTTTTTAAAAAGATAACGTGAAAAAGGAAATATGCACAACAAAGACTGATGTAATATATTCAGAACCCAAACAAACAAATCTAAATGCTGGCTAGCCTGAGACATCTGGAACTTGCTTCCTCACAAATCACTTTCACAGTTCAAACCATAGCTGGCATCAACTTCTGAATATCTGACAAGGAAGAGTATCTGTTACAGTGAACAGCTGCATGAACAGTCCTCATTTTTCTCATGAACCAGAAACTCAGTAGAACAGTTACAATAAAACATGTTCAAAACAGGAATACTTTGAATTCACTGAGCAATTATCTCTATAGCATACTAATATTGAGGCAACTAGGCAAGTTATATTTTAAAAAGATAAATCCTGTGTGCAATTTTTTCAAGTAATTACAGATATAGAAAAGCAGAAGGGCATGAAGTGACAAGAAGTTAGCATCAGTGAGAAACTTCCTCCAAATCAATGCATCGTGTATTTTACTACTTCTTTTAGAGGTATCTGCTTATTTTCTCAGATGAGATACTATACAAGGTTATTTTTGTATAAATGAGGATTAAATGAAAATTACACCTTTTTCTTTTTGTCTAAAGTCATAAGGTCACTATTTTACCAATTTAATATACACAATAGGGGGGTTTTGTTTCCAGATTTTAGTGTAAGGAGCAGTCAGAAGAGGAATATGGAAGCTCATTGATATGAATCAGGTATTCTCCTCACTTTCTAGGATCTTGACTTAATTCACTAAAAATCTGACTTAAAAGATCTGTCTTTTTAATAAACAGCTATCCCTATCATAGAATCAAGCCATATCAATTTGCATAATTTCAGGAAATATTATAATTTTCATTGAATTTATTGCAATGTGTGTCAAAATTTATCAGAAAATTGATGTGGCAATTGAAGATTACTTCAATGCTAGTCTTATTCCTAATAAAAGTTATTATAATTTTGTTTATTTTTCCTTCTACTGAGTCACTATTACTATGTGAAATAATATTCCCTTGCCTTCTTCAGTACTAAATAGAGATGTTATTTTCTCTTTTAGAGGACACCTGTACTGGTTTTACTTATGGACTCATCGACAACAGAACTGCTACAGAGCATATTTTTCTCTGCTGTGGACTGCACATCCTTGACACTTAAGCAAAACTCCGGTCCTTTTTCTCTGATTTATGCCAAAGCTCCCATTGAAGAGAATTTAGATCCTATTCGAACAAAGGGCATGACTGAATGGTTCTTTCTTAGCTTGCACTGTTCTTACTGGGGTAGTTCAGAAAGCATAAATGAAGCTACTGCTGATTTAGACAGGTACAAAACAATTTAAACCTAGTGGAAATAATTTATATTACTATGAGTTTCGGAAAAAAAAACACCTAACTTGGTTAAACTTCATTCTTATAAGAAAAAAATTAATGCAGGAAACATTAATGAGATTTTCAAAGATGAGAATCTGAAAAAAAACCACCAGATTTTCTCCTGAAAATAACTGAACTTCTATCAAAAATGGCATCCTAAGACTTGACACTTTGATTCTAAATCCATTTATTTCTAAACTTTCAAACATGCAAGTCAGGATAGAAAATTTTGAAAAAGTTTTCTTTGTTGTTGTTGTTATTGATTCCTAAAGTCCTCTGCATTACACTGTGGGATTCTGTGTCTTACCAGATTGCAGAGATCAAGAACCACAATAATTCCAAGGAAAAAAAAAGATCCCAAGAATATCGAATTTAATTACCATCTTTCACCTTTAGAGAAAAGGTATCAACCAGGACACCTGTCTAGAATTTCAGATAAAATCTAAACCATTTTTAAACAAAGAGCAAAACAAGGGTATGTGTGAAAACTCAAAAGACTCCTGCAGAGAATTGTAGTCTGAGATGATCCTCTAGCAACGGCTAAGGTTTGTGGGAAATTTACACATTCTGGGAACAAAAGATCAAAGCTCAACAGCATAATTTCTCTGTTGGCTACAAAAAGCTAAGCAGTAGCCAGCATTTCTTTCTTGGCAGACATAAAGGATTTACTTATCCTTCTGCTTTTTCTATTTCTTAGAATATTAAATAATTTATAATAATTCAATAACTTTAGTAGCACATACGAGTCTCTTCTATTCCCTTCACCAAAACCTGACTAATGGAAACTTCAGTTACTATCTTTTATCAATTAACAGATATAAACTGTAGGACTAGTTCCATTTATATTGTTAGCAGGGGAAATGTTGCCTCCTGTTCCAAATGAAATCAGAATGTGAATACTTTATGATCCTTTGTTGAAAGAATATGCTAAAATTATAAGTCTTAATATTATTTTATAAGTCTTCTTAGTGGTCAAGGGGCATGTGAGAAGAATCTTGATTCCACTGAGGTCAATTGTAAAACCACCAGTATTTAAATGAAGTCAGCATTTTACCTTAACTTTGGGGGATTCTAAATATTATTTGAGTGTCATCTCCTTAAAAGCTCCATACAATTTTAATATATATAAATATATATATGTATACTGAACCTATTATTATGTAAAGGTAAGAATTTATCTGATTTATGTTACATGCAATTACCTGAACATTTTTATATAAAAATTACATGTTCAAATAACTTCAAATAAATAAACTGTGTTTTAGTGTAAAGGGTATGTAAATGCATAATAGCATTTAAATTATCATTATTGTTTTAACGAAGCTGCTACACCTCATAATTTTCTTTTTGTTTTTTGGGCCCAACTAAGACAACTCATTATTGTACATACACCTACATATTATGTAGTGTCATATATTAAAAATTGACATCCAAATACCAAATCCAATGAGATAATCTACCTAATATAAAAGACATTACATTTTACAGATTTTGGGAATGGGTACAATTGAAAGCACAAATGTCTTATTTTCAGAAACTATCATTTGCTCTTATTAAGAATATTAGTAGGGTTTGAATTTTTTACAAATGGCAGATGAGAGATAAACAGCTGGTAAGGTAAACAGGATGCAGAATGACTGTAGCATTTTGAATATTGACACTAAGGACAGAAGGTGTTACATAATAAAGCACAGTCACAAATGATGTTTTCTTTCTTATAATAAGTGAAATCTGATAGAAATGCTAAAGGCAAATTATTCAGCCATAAATGTCATGCAGCCACTCAGTGAAGATCTTAATTTGGTCTTGATGATATCTTATTTATATTTACCTTTTACATTTAAACTTAAGTCTTTGCTCTCCAATTTTGACATGATGATTATATTTTCCCTCGGTACATTTGCTCTTATTTCATTCATATACCTTTACATCCTGTTCTAGGTACACAACCTATGTAATTTCTATGCTTAAGGAACTGCAAGCAATGGCACATTTACTAACAAAATAATAAAAACAAGAGTCCCGCATGCATCTGCAAAGTAAATGCTCACATTCCTTCCATTTGCCAAAAACAGTGGGCACTGAATACGAATCATATTTTACCCAGTGATTTATTTGTAGACAGGATTCAGGAAACTGCTGTTTCGCTAAGCTCCCTCTTCCTTGGTAAAACTATTCAGTAATTTTGTGGTCTTGAAGTATGTACTTCCCCCTTGCCCTTTTGCATTCTCCCTGTCTAACTGGCATGGTGAATTGCTAAACACATTGCAAAGCAGTACCATTCACATTCATGTAAAAACATAATCCTCTGTTTAATCCCCCTCTACCCCAGTAACAATTTCAGGAATTCACAAATAAATCACTGATTTTATTTCAATGACATAGCAGAGGCAAGTATCAAATACAAACTAGACTCTGGGTCTCCTCTACCCTACAAAACCAAACCCAGGTCACCTTTGCACTTAATCCAGTAAAATTATCCCCAGAATTGCTTTCCCTGCTCCCCAAACTAATTACCACAAGCTGCCTGTGATAAGCATGCCTGTCCCCTCCTTCAACTCCAGCCGAGTGTGATGCCAACCGCCCCCTGCCACCCAGGAGACATCTGGTACCCAGGACCCATCTTCCCTTTGCCCGGAACAACCCCAAATCCCACCTCGTCCCCAGAGGACATTCAAATAACATCCTGTTCCTCTTCCTTCTCTCACCCAGCCTCTCAGAAAACAGAAGAGTAATGGCACCATGGTTGGCCACAGAGACATGTGGAAGACGGGGAGGAGAAGGTGGGGAAGAGAGGAGCCAGGGACACGATGGAAAGGGAGGGGAGGGAGGAAGATCCACTCATACAGATGAAACTTCATGCAGGCCTGGCCTCCTACCCGTCCCCTCCATGGAGTGATGGGGAAGGGGGCGGTGGGGCGAGCTGAAATGGCACCTTACCTTCACTGCAGTCCTTCCCTCGAAAGCCCGTTTGGGAGCAGTCACAGACGGCCTGGTCATTGAGCACCGAGCAGACACCCCCGTTGAGGCAGACGTCCTCCCTGGCACACAGGCGGCTCTGCTCATCATCCAGCCGCACCTCCTGGCTCTCCACCGGTGATGCCTGCGTGTAGTTGACCCGGACGTCTGTTATCCAGCCCTTGAAGGGCTCCCGGTCCTTGACAGAGGAGAGGGTCAGCTTTAGCGTCGCCGACCGCAGCTCCGGCGGGAGCCCCCCTAAGAAGAGCCCGCTAAAGACAGTCATGTCCCGCCGTTTGGACTTCACTTCCACCCACTTGGTCTCGGCTCGGTCAATGATCAGTGTTGTGTTCTTGAAGTGGCGGCGAATGACGACAGCGTGCCAGAGGTTGTCATTGACCGCCGTGTCCGAGAGCAGGGTGGCAGGTTCAGCACAGAAGATGGAGAAGCTGAGCTGTAGCCGCCCACCCTGGGTGAGGATGAGCTCCAGAAAGTCGCAGAAGCCCTCGTCGTCAAAGTAGAGCACCAGCCCACTGGAGCTGCGTGTCTTCATGTTGAAGCTCATCTCACTCTCGCAGCAGGCGTTCCACTTGGGGAAGCGGGTCCACTGGCCCTCTGCACCCGGGAACTCCAGCCCGCTGCCCAGCTCAGCCCAGCAGCCCAGCAGTAAGGCCAGCCAGAGCAACAGGCAGCCCCCACGCCGCACCAGCGCCGCCCCCATCCTGCGCGGCCTGGGGCGGGCGAGTGGGGCGGCAGGGCTGGCGGGGGGCGGCACTGGGGCCCCGGTGGCAGACAGGGTAAAATCTTGCTGGGCACTGGCTGCGATGGGAGGTTCAGGCACGCCCACCCCCGCCCCGGGTGCGGGGGTCACTGTGGGAGACTCCCCGGGGCGGGGGGCTGCAGGTGCCCCACGGGATGTGGTTGGACACGAGATGGTGCCAGGGGCCACTGGAGGGGACCCGCAGTGGGGGTAAGGCACCGTTTGGTCTCTTCACTGGTCAACTGGGCTCCGCAAAGGGTGTCCAGGGGTGGGTGAGTCAGCAGAAATTTTCCCCAAAGCCAACATTACCAAACCTGGAGGAAAACCAAGATCAGTGGCAAAACTCTCCTCCAAGGGGATCCACCAGCTCGGCAAGGCTGTAGCAATATCCTGGCACGTGTGTGCCTCTTTTTACATCCTCTCCACCAGCTGTAGTTTCCCAGGAAGCCAATTATTGATCCCAACACTGCCTTCCTAGCATGGATCCTCTTGTCATATCACGGACCGTCTGCCATGGTGCTAGAGCAGCGTCAGCAGACGACAGGACTCATCGCTGGTGGCTTCCTGAGCTGCCTCAATCCCAATGGGGCTGAAACCCAGAAGCTGTCAAACAGCCGAGTGGCTACTTGACATGCAAAGCCTGACAGCTCCTCTTCTGTTTGCTTGCAAAAGGCCAAGGCTAAGATCCAGGGGGGTGATTTTCCTCTATTGTTTTTTTTTCTAATCTGCAAGGAATTGAAACAGAATAATAAGAAATGGCAACTAGTAACATGTTAAATCATAAAGTTAATCAATATTGAATGTTTGAGATTATTTTTTCATTTCAGCTGCTGTTGGACATCAGGAAAATGCAGCTGTAATTTTGGAGTTACTGAGGAATTATAATAACTTGCAGTGTTAAACCTAAATCTTAATGTACATGCTTATATTAGATTACATTTTTATGGTATAATCTATACATAAACTACTTACCTTTCCAAAACTTTGAAATATTTCTGTAGTATATTTTATTATTACAAGAACAATGTTAAACAGAAAAAGTGGTGTTTATTCTGCAATTTATTTTATTGTAATTTATTCATGGAAACACCAGCACCTGTGAAGCTACAGGGTCCTATTCATGCAGACAATGCTGCCAAGCTCAGTTCCAGTTGTTTCCAATACAGGTCAAAAAAATAAAGTGGACTGAGCTCCCAGCAAGGCTGACAGCCTCCACTGTACCTGGCACACCTACTGGTTTATTTTCATGGGGAGAGGAAGAATTGCAATCATTTCTTAGAAGGCTTTTTGAAAATTTCAAACCATGTTTTTTCTCTGCCACCTGCTTTCTTTCAGGGTTGATATTCTCTGTTATGGCAGGGAAAATCCAATTCAAGCCAGCTCTGATGTTGACATTATTCACTATGCAAATCAGCTAATCCCAGGTGTTAGTCCTCTGAACTGGGTTGCAGTATTTTATGTATGTTTACTCAGCTGCCCTTATTAAGAGAACAACTCCTCATTTTAAAAATTATATAGATGCCACAGTTCACTCTTATCCTCTGAAGAGGTCTCTACATTGAAAGCATTTCAGCAGAGAGGCTCTGCTCTCTCTTTTTCTCTCCCAAGCTGCTATATCTTTTCTGGAAGCTGCGTATTAGCAGACCTCTCCTGATGGAGGAGAGGATCTCCATCTCCCTCACCCACCACTTCCCCTTCACCTCCCTTACATTTCTTTGCCAGCAGCACTTAGGCAGGCAGAATAGCACGTCCAGAGCTGCTGCCAAGCCCTGTGCTGGGCTGGGGTGTGTGTGTCTGTGTCTGTGTGGGGGGAGACAGGGTAGAGATGACCCTGCCAGGGAGAAACATGTTTTAAAAACAGGCACACACCTCAGCTGCCTGCACCTGACACGTTCAGAGCTGCTAAGTCACCTCCTACTCTCTCTTTATATTTAATTTCATTCCTCTAAAATGTCAACACGATTATTTTTATTATTTGTCACACGCAACGTGGGCAAAAGCAGCAAAAGGGAGGAGGGGAGAACCCCTAACTTCGGGATCAGAGGTTAGATGTGCCCACCAGCAGCAGGCAGACCCCAGGTCCCCCCCACACCCTCCCTGCCCCCCGGCAGCAGCCACCTCACGCATCGCCGCGACCAGCCGAGGGATTTTCCGGCGGCTCCCCCGCACAGCGCGGTGCCCGGGTGGGCCCGTGGCGGGAGCCCCCGCAGCTCCGCTCCCCAGATCGCCTTCCTGGGCGCGGCGGGGCCGCGGGCAGGGGCTCCGTTCGCTTGCAGCGCCCGCCGAGCGGCCGCTCCCGCTTCAGCACCCGGAACAGCTCCGCCCTGTGTGGCCCGACGGGGCGGCGGCGGCCGCTGCCGGCTGAGCGCCACGGGGACCCGCCCGCGGCCTCCGCACCGGCGTGGGGCTGGACACGAGTGGCAGCCACCATGTGCACGAGTGGATGCACCGAGGGCGGGGAGGGGAGGTGCGGGCGGCCGCGCGGCCCCGCTGCGGCGGAGGGGAAGGAGGTGGTGAGGGAGCGGATTTGGGGTGCGTGGGGGGGTGCAGGGTGGCGGTGTGAGACACGGCGTTCGTGCCCGGCGTGGGAGGCGGCGTGAGAAATTACATGGAGGGAGGGGGATGTGTGTGAGGGGGGTCCGGAATGCATGGGGGAAGGGGAGACTGCATGTAGGTTTGTGGAGCGGGGATGCGTGGGGAGGGGGCGCGGCTTGTGTGTGTGTGTGTGTGTGTGTGCGCGTTCACGGGGGTTACCGGGAAGCTGGGGCTGGGCTGGGGAAGCGGCGGGTGGGGAGGAAATGCGGGAGGTGCCGTGGGGAGGGGGCGCGGGGTCCGAGCGGTCCTTTGCGCCGGGAGCGCACGGGGGAAGCAGGGAAGGGCTTTGCGCCTTCGTTCCCGGGCGCAGGAGCGGGAGGGTGCCAGGAGCCCGTGGTGTCTGCCGGGGCGGGAAGGGTGGAGGGAGCCAGGCAAGGACGCGCGTGTGAGTGCGTGTGAGTGCGTGAGCGCGGCCGCCCTGCGTGCCAGAGCGATCCCTACAGGTGTCCGCGCAGAGCCGCCGCGTGGGGATCCCACCTCGCGAGCATCCCTGTCCGCTGCCTGCCTCTGGCTGCGGCGCTTGCCTTCCCCCTCGCTCACACACACACACATACACACACACACACAGAGCAGCAGCAGCGACAAGAGGGGGGAAGAGAAAGGAAAAAGAGACAGAGAAGAAAAAAGAAAAAAAGAGGGGGGAAAAAAAAGCCGAAAAGAGACGCAGACACTGTAAAAGAAAGGAGAAAGACCCAAGAAAAAAAATATAACAAACAATTGCTTATTTATTACTGTCCATATAATTCACACACTGCCAATAAACAGCACAGTCTTGTCTAGTCATTTCCAAAGCAGAGGGACACTTTCATTCTCAGAAGAGGACAATTTATTAACATCTATCTCTCTATCTATCTATATCTATATATATATCAAATGGGCTCTTAAGTACCAGGCATTCCTCCCAGCAACGTATCCATGTATACACACATACATAGCGAGAAACATACACAAACCAATATAAATGTATCTATTCCATTTAGTGCCTCGCCAGTGAATTCGTATGCTTCCCCCACCCCTCTACAACCATTTTTTTTCCTTCAAAAATTATGATTTAGTCACAGGTGCCCCGATTGAGCCTTTTCAAATTAGAAAAAGAAAGAGAGAGACACCCATAGGTCAATAAATCCTTAATAAATGCCAGGTCGGTTGGCATGCACAATCCTTGGCAGAATCCTTATTGTATGAAATACAGAGCATTGTCTCTGGGTGCGGGGAAGACCTGAGAGTTCACAAATTACCGGATGAAATAAAAGGATCTGAAAAACAACCTTGCTGCAGCCAAAGGGAGAAGCGCTCTAATTCAAAAGCAGACTTAACAGCATCATTAATCTTTTCCTTTCATTTCTATGTAATTTCTAGAATCAAATTCTTTCCTAAGCGGCTAGAATGATCGATTTTGCTCCCCTCCCAGTCTGCAGCTGTATTTATTTTAA